CCCTGCCCTCCCACCAGCAGGCTTCTTCCTGGGACACTGTTCTGATCCCTATGGGTCCCCAATAGCTCCTGGCCTGGATGATCCACTGCTGGAACCATAGCCCCAGGTCCACTCCATCGGGGGCGGTATGGCCAGCGCTCAGCCACCAGAGAAAATTCTGGAATCCGTGACCCAGTCAGGACTAAGGAACCAGCTGGAAGCAGTAAAGGGCCCAAAAACTCACTCAAAGTTGATGGAAGGAAGCCCAAGGGGCAGGGGAAGACCCAAAGGAGTTGCATCCTGGCCCTGCTAGGGGCTAAGTGCACCGGCAATGGGACCTGGGGCCCTCAGCTGGGACCAGGGCAGACTCTTAAAGAAGTGGTTTAACTAGAACAGATGAGGCTGTAGAAAGCTCTACTCCCACCTACTCCTTGAGCCCCAATTCCCAACATGCACCCCCCTACTCCCTTTGCACTTGGCTAGTGTGATGGTTCTGCCAGAGCATCAGGCCTACTGGGTTCCTTTCCACAGGCACCCTTTCTTATCATCACTTGGCTGTTGAGAGCCTCCTTGTTTTCAGAGTCAACTCTAATGCATCTGCCTCTGTGAGACCCTCAACTCTGCCACAGCATCGTACATATTCTTTTAAAATAGCGTTTATAGTACCCCCATGTTCATAGAAGGATTCTCACAGTAGCCAAAAGTTGGAAATAACCCAAGGGATTAATGGATAATCAAAATGTGGTAAATCCAAACCATGGGGTATTGTTCAGCCTTAAAAATGAAGGACATTTTGACACACGGATGACCCTTGAAGACGTTATGTTAAATGAAAGAAGCCAGACACAAAACGACAGATGCTACATGATTCCACTTGGATGAGGTTAGGAGCGTCGTTAGGTTCCGAGACAGAGAAAGTAGGATGGTGGTTGCTAGGAGCTGGCAGGAGAGGCGAATGGAAGTTAGTGCTTCATGGGTATAGAGTTGGGTCGCAAGGCAAGAGAATTTGGTAGATTGGTTGCACAACAATGAGAATGTACTTAACACTACTGAACGGTATACTTTAAAAGTGGTTTAAGTTGGTAAACTTTGTTATGTGTGTTTTACCACAATTACAAAATAAAGGTAGTACTTATGCCATGCTTTGTAATTTGGGGTCTGACCTCACAGTACACTGAGGCTTCTTAAGGTCAGGGAGCATCTTATTTCCATCTTTGTTCCCCAGAAAATGGCATTCTGCAGGCACACGGTGGGTGGGGAGGCACCGCTGGCTGCGAGAGTGCGTAATACGCAGGTGTGAAGCGACCAGTAACAAAAACAGACACCCAGGACAGCTCCTGTAAACAACCCGTTACCTAGATGCATTAAATACCTTAAGCACTGCTCTTTTAAGCTCTTTTCCACCACAGACCCATTTAGTGGACTATAGCCATAATTTAATGAATGATACCCTTGTGACATGAAAGAATAACTGTTCAACTTAATGCCCAAATGATACCCGGGAGCAGCTCCACTGAGTCACGTGGCACACGCTGGCTCATTATTTCCAGGTATATTGCAGGTCGGGAGGAAGGCGAGGACTGCTGTGTCGGGGAAACATTAACTACCCCTCTCGATGGAGTCCCGTCCCTCAGAGCAGGGAGGTTCACTCACCGGCAGATACTGTGACCGTCGGATTTCACGTGCCAGACATAAATCTGTTAATTTGCAACATGAATTAAATTTCCCAGGCAACCTTGGAGTAGGAATTATCTAAGAAACTCGGCCATACAACTTAGAAACATAACTGATTTGTTTTCTTCAATCTAAAACACAATCCCCCCGCCACTCCCCCACCCCCCACCTCCCCATCATAGGATTATTTGAGATTCTAAAATGTTTGTGGGAAAATTGAGTTTGCAGACTGAATTATGGTAACTCCAGCAGCTTGGCTTTTGGTCTGTGTCTCGGCCCAGCACAGTATCACTTGGTGCTCCACTTGTGTGTTGGGGATCGTACCTGCCCAGCGCAGTCATGAAATGATTTCCCTGTGCCTGTGGAGGTCCCGGGTCCCATCCACACCTGTGCCAGCCCTGTTACTCCGGGACACCCCTTCGGTCTGGCATGTGATTGAGAGAGGCTGTTCAGGAGACGTGGGGATGTGTGAAATGCTGCTTTATTCTCTTTCACGTATTTCCTCTTCCACATTCCTGGAAGTTGTAGTATATGAGAACGTCGAATAGGTACTAAGCAGCAATCTAATTCACAGAAGAAATAGCAAGTAAAAGAAAGAACCAAAATGAGGTAAAGAGCACCCTAGGCAGCCTCGTTAGATTCTCAACACTGGCTGCATTTTTCATTTAGGTGATTTTGAGGTTGATTTGATCATTTTAGTGAGTACTGGGCCATTGTAAAGCATTTCCCAGCCCAGGAGGTAGATTAATTTTGGTTTATTATTTTTTTCTTGCTCAGAGCTATTACTTGGGTAATACATTTTACAGTTGTGTGCTCGATCTTGCTATAATGGGCAAAAATATTAGTTCCCCGCATTTCCTCCTTTTTCACGTAGTACTTTCTCAGGAACCCCTCCCCTCACTCCAGAGTGTCCCACTCCCCCGGCCACTTTCGGTTTCCTTCCTACTCAGACCGCAGGGTAGCAGCAGCCCCATCACCTGGACTTCTCAGAAAGGCAGTCTCTCAAGCCCAGCAGAGCTCTTGGCTCAGAACCCATTTGAAAAAGCCCCCCTCTCCTAAAGTTCTGCTCCCTCAGGCAGTTTTTGATGACCGATAGCCCATGAAATGTCCTTTGAAATGTCCTTTGACAGTTTGAAATTAAGCTCATCAATTACCCCAACCGCTGTGATTGAGCAGTATGCTCTAGATCAGAGGTGGCGAACCTTTTTCTGCCAAGGGCCCTTTGGATATTTATAACATCACTCCTGGGCCATACAAAATCATCAACTTAGAAGTTAGCCTGTTACATTTGGTCAAACATTTAGTTAACTCACCCCAATGCCTTGGCAGGGCCAGACCAAATGATTTCTCTGGCCTTATACAGCGCATGGGCCGGATGTTCCCCACCCCTGCTCTAGAAAGTTCTTTGTCACTTACCACCCCACAGATTTGTTTTCTATTCTCCACAGGATAAGACATGTAAAGCATCTACTGGCACGGAGACCAGCACAGAGTAATCGATTGGACAAAGATAGCTGTTGTTATCACAGGGTCTACAAATGGTTGTCCGGCCCATGAAAATGAGGGGGTTGGCCATTTGCAATCCCATTTATGGTTATAGGATCCACCTGCCATGTCTGTCTTCTCTGTTCAGCTTATTGTATACCTAAACAATATGGGAGTAGATGTTCCATAAATTTCTCCAGCCTGAGGTAGACTCCCCAAACTCTCTACAAAATGCCTCTTTGGTGCAGGACACCCCAGGTAATATAAGTCATTCAAAGGTGAACTAATGCAGAGCCTGCTGTCAACACATGCAGTCCAGAGAAGATACAAGGAATTATAAAAATGGCTGCCATATGAGATAGAAGGAGGTCACAATTTTTATGGAAGTTTAGAAGATGATGTTTAGGGAGACAGGTAGAACGTTTCCAAAAAATTTGGCATTTGAAACAGAATGTGTGATGTGGTTAGGATTTCAGTAGGTGGACAGGCATGTGATGGGATCAGCATAAGCAAAGGTGCGATGCCTTGATTCACTGAAGAACTAGGCACCTGCAGAGCCTTCGGGGAAATGAACCCCCAGGTGTCTAACACTCATTTTCACTTTTAATCCCACAACTACCTAGTGATCACGAGGGAGCTGACTTTTGGAGATTAAGGATAGAGAGGTTTGGTAGACAGTTTTGTAGGAAAGACTTCTGGGTACACAGACAAGCGCAGAGGGGTCCTTGGGAGGCTTAGCCTGAGAAGTGAGTGCACGTGGGCTATGGTGGGAAGATGCGAGAGGCAGGAAGCCACTGCCTATTGTGTACTCCCAGCAAGATGTTATTAAAGAACATGATTCCACTTTGTGGAATGAAACTGATGTCGCTTAAAACAAAGTTATAACACCCAGTTTTGTGGATGTGCTGTGAATCGGGCGAGAGTAAAAATTGATCTATTTCTGGAGGGTAGTTTGGCAGGTACTTAACAGCCTCCTTTGAAAATGTTCATACCTGTCTGGCAGCAATTCCACATCTAAGAATTTATCTGAAGGACATAATTAAGGTTGTTTGCAAAGATTTAACTTCAAGGGTATTTGACACAGTTATTTATAATAGCAAAATATCTACAAATAGGGGATTTGGTAATAAACGATCACATACTGTAATTTTATGTAGCCATTAAAATAACTTATTAAATATTAAACAAAAACAGGTTATAATATATTCATATTAATCCCATTTTCTTTAAATCTATGAGCTAATATCTTAAGAAAACACACACGCACGCACGCACGCGTGCATCCAGAAAGAAAATACTTAAACATCTTAAGAATGATTTTATTCAAGTGCTAGGATTACTGCTAGTATTTATTTACCTTCAAATTTACTCTCAGTGATTATGATTAAGAAAAGGGTTGGTTTTATTTTGTTTTTTATGTGGTAATGCAGCCTTGCACACAGGTGAGGTCTGGGCATCGTAATGAGGGGATTGGTGTCATGACACATCGCAGAAGTAGAATCTTCAGGGCCATGCCAGTGTTGGAAAGGGCTACAAATAAGGTGAATGTTCTGAGCCCGTGAGCCTGGAAAAGAAGTTAGGGGGTGAAGGGGGGACGTCAGGAAGGGGAGCAGCTGTTGTGAGGGGGGCAGTGGGTATTGATCGTGTTGAATTGGATGTATGAAGAGAGACTCGGGGAAAAAGTCCAACACTCTGGTGTCGGTCCTCAGACCAACCTTAGCAGTTGCAAAGCAGCTAAAAAGACTGTGTCTTTGGTATTATGAGTGTAAACGCACTGATTGGGGACAGTCTCCATGGGCAATTGGTAAAACCCACAGGTGGCCTGTGAAACACTCCAGCTTAGTTTTTATTTTTTAAAATTTTTTATTGATTGAGGTATTACAAATGTGTCTTTATCCTCCCATTGTCTCCTCATCCCCCCAGTCTTGCCCTCACCCTCACCCCCGGTTGTCTGCGTCCATCGCTTATGCTTCTATGCATGCATACAAGTCCTTTGGAGAGATCATCCAGCTTAGTTTTGATGACCGGCCAGCAGAGAGAAACAGGCGGGTTTTCTTTGAATGGCCATTTTCTTATCATCCTCACTTTAGTTTGGAGCTCCCAGTCCTATGATCCTGAGCCTCAGCCGGGCAATAAATTCTTTTTTGAAATGCCATTATTGATTTTACAATTAAGCTTTGAATCTTTGGAGGTATTCAAATGAGAAAATACTGACAGTTCCCACCATATAATCAGTGCTCAGAAAGGTTTAGTTCTTCTGTGTTTAAAGCCGTGAGTTTTTAAAGTCTAGTGAATTAACTTAGTGATTGAAAGCATATCTTATGCCCCTCATTGATTCCAGATTCCTAAATAGAGATATCATCTCCTGGGAAGCTCCCACCAAGGAATTTTCAGTTGGGCAAGCTCCTTGGTTTAAAAGCACATATAAAAACCAACCCCCCTCCCCAACAAACAAACAACAGAACAATAACACACATACAACAGTTTCTGCATACAGATTTAAAAGCACACAGCTAAAAGCCAGTTTTTACAATACTGTTTCACTCCTGACCAGCATTCTATTGATTCTTTGATCTTATTGTCAGCGCACTTAATTTCTCTCTGCTTTGGTTTTAATAACTAGACTGATACTTGACACGTTTCTTTCCCAAGGGGCAATTTATAACTATTAATTGGTTTGTAAAATGCCTTTTGAACTGCTCAGATGAAAGGCCTCATGTAAATAGCAAATGTTTCTTGTGTTGTTGTTGTTGTTGATTTCATTATGTGTATTTTGACTACTTGCTACTTGCTGTCTTTTAAGACACTGAAACCTACATTTTAAAATTTTTAGATCTTTCCTTTCAAGAACAAACATAACCAGATATTTAACATCCAGAAGTGATTTAGTTTCTTTACCAAACAATAATTGCTCTTAAAAGGTAGGACCTGGGAAAAACGAATACTTGTTTATGTATAACACTTCTGACTTGACTTGTTGGCACCACAATAAAAGTATCCAAGAAATTCTCAAGGTTCAAAATCCCCAGACACAGGAATAAAGCGAATTTAAACCTGACTTCTTATTGACCACATAGAAGTCGACTGGCTTTTCATTGCCAGGAGGTTGAGTCTCTTATTTTTAACTTTTCTTTGGACAGAGAAGAAAACCACCAGCCACCCCAAAGGACATTTGTCAGTGTCTGAAATTTTTGGTTGCCACAGTTTGGGGGGTGCTACTGGCATCGAGATAGATAGAACCCCAGGATTCTGGCAAACATCGTATAAAGCACAGGACAGCCACTGTCATACAACCAAGAGTCATCTGGCCCAAAATGCTGACAGCGTCCATGTTGAGAAATCCAGACTACATTCAGTATAGAACTTAATTCATCTTCATCTACCGGGATTTCTCCTCAGTCTGTTGCGTACTGTGTGTTTTTTAAAAATCTTGCCTGGATTTCTTTGCAGGTTGGCATTGTGGGAAGAACAGGAGCTGGAAAAAGTTCCCTCATCTCCGCCCTTTTTAGATTGTCAGAACCCGAAGGTAAAATTTGGATTGATAAGATCTTGACAACTGAAATTGGACTTCACGATTTAAGGAAGAAAATGTCAATCATACCTCAGGTATGCAAGTCAGAGCATTCTCACATGATCTTTTTATAAGGGCACCTAAATTTAATTGCTTTTAATTTTATTACTGTTTAAAAGTGAATTAAAGGGGTGATCCATTCCCCCAAGTAGAGCATATTTTTAACAGCAGGTATTTTTAACTGATATTTTATATTAATCAGTTGACAAGTTTTATTTGTTTGTTCATTTGGTGTGTGTGTGTGTGTGTGTGTGTGTGTGTGTGTGAGAGAGAGAGAGAGAGAGAGAGAGAGAGAGAGAGAGAGAGATTGATTGATTTAATAATTTACCCAGGTAGATTTCTGAACTCAAACTTCCCCAAGTTCCCAATTTTATCTACTGACTAGAGGCCTGGTTAATGAAATTTGTGCACGGGTGAGGTCCCTAGGCCTGGCTGGTGATCAGGGCCTATCGGGGCTGTCTCACCCAGTCCCCATTGGGGCCGGGCTGGCTGGGGCCTGCCGGCTGCTGGACAGGGCCTGCCGGATCAGGGGAGGGACCAGGGGGTAGTTGGCCGACCATAGGAGGTTGGCTGTGGGAGCGCACTGACCACCAGGGGGTAGCTCCTAATTTGAGTGTCTGCCCCCTGGTGGTCAGTGGGCATCATAGCAACTGGTTGACCCGTCGTTCCTGTCATTCCAGTTGTCCAGTCATAAAGGTCGCTTAGGCATATATATGTGTATATATATATATATATATGGCTACATAATTCTGAGAACAAAATGATAAATGGTTTGTTTAGCACTTTGAGAGGTTTTTATAAGAGAACATAGGTTTTAAATGGCTTAATGATGGCATTCTGAAGCAGGAAATAAAGCTACCTTTTCAAAACTGGTTATCTCCATGGAGGCTTTTCTGTGAAACTGTATGGCTTTGAGAATTTTGGAGTGCATAGGAACTTTGGGGAGACTTTTAGAACTCTAGCCATTAGTAAATGATACAGGCCAGGGAGGCTGTGCAGCGTAGTGAGCAAGAGCATCAGACGAGGAATTCCATCTCTGTGCACCTCAGTTTTCTCTCCAGTACAAGGCTGCTAGCAGTACCAAGTCCCAAAGCTGCTGTGAGGACTAAATAGGTAAGTGTCTGTGGAGTGGTTCACCTGCTGTGATGATGGAGGGTTGAATTGACCCTTGTCCAGAGCTCTAATTGTTTCCTTTTACTCAGCTTCTTAATACAAGCATGGCCTCAGGCAGTGTTCTAGAGATGGGTTATATGCACAATAGGAGCTCCTATCATGCCTATGGTTCATCCACTCAACATAAATGCCGACAGTATGTATGGAGCAATTGCTGTCCTCTAGTATATAGCCAAGGGCAACATAGGCCCTGTAGCCACTGGCCTGAGGCATCTTCCATCCTGCCCTCTGCTTTGACACTTAATACATATTCAGCTTTATACTTGCTGATTATTTTTAAATTTAAGGTTTTTTGTTTAGTTTTACACTCTAATCATCTGGCCATCAAGGGAAGCTGAGGAAAAACACATAACTTGTTGAGGTGAGAAACACACAGAAGAGACGAGACAGAAAGAGCCAGGCCAATCGGCTTCCTGCATGTGGGTAGAAAGAGCTCTTAAATGCCTGATCATTAGGAAGCATATAGGACATGGTACCCAAGGGAAGGAGAATGTGGACTTGTGTCTTATGACCGAGTTCAACTATTACTACCTACCACTGACCTGTAAAATAATTGGACTTTCTCTGAGTAACTTCAAAATCTATCTATCCCCTTCAGAACTTCATTCAGATGCCAGTTCACACCCCTTAGGTTGACTAGTACCTAAAGGAACCAAACAAACAGAAAATAACAAGTGTTGGAAATTATGTAGAAAAATTGGAACCCTTGTGCATGGCTGGTGGGAATATAAATGGTACAGCCACTGTGGAAAGCAGGATGGAGTATCCTCCAGAAATTAAAAATAGACTTATCATATGATCCAGCAATTCTACTTCTGGGTATCAACCCCAAAGAGTTTTGAAGGGACTTGAAGAGATATCTGTACACCCATACGTTATTCATAATAGCAAAATGTAGACGTACTCCACGTGTTCATTGATGGATGAAGGGATAAACAAAATGTGGAATATCCACGCAGTGGAATATAATTCAGCCTTAAAATGAAGGCAGTTTGGATACATGCTGCAATATGGATGAGCCTTGAGGACATTATATGTGGAATAAGGATAATACTATGTGATTCCATTTATATGAGGGACATAAAGTAGTCATATTCATAGAGAAGCCATAGAATGGTGGTGTCCAAGGGGGTAGAGAATAGGGAGTTGTTTAATGAGTACAGGTTCAGTTTTGGTGATGGATGTTCAACAATGTTGAATGTACTGAATCCCTCTGAACTGTACACTTACAAGTGTTTAAGGTAGCCCTAGTTGGTTTGACTCAGTGGCTAGACTAGAGCGTTGGCCTGCAGACTGAAGGGTCCCGGGTCCGATTTTGGTCAAGAGCACATGCCCGAGTATGTGTTCGATCCTCAGTAGGGGTCATGCAGGAGGCAGCCAATCAGTGATTCTCTCTCATCATTGATGTTTCTATCTCTCCATCTCCTTTCCTCTCTGAAATCAATAAAAATATATTTTAAAAAATAATAAATAAAAGTGGTTGAGGTAGTCAATTTTATGTGTATTTTACCAGAATTTTAAACAAAATTGTTTTAAAAATAATCCCTTTCAGGAAAAATGGAAAGGAATATTCAGCACATAAAGTCCTGGTATTGAAAGATTCCCTCTGGCTATTAGATTCATAACTTAGTGATGACAGTATAAAATACGATTTTAAATTCCCAAGTTTTATATTTTGGTTGTACCCATCTCTGAAATGGGTGAAAGAGATTTACTTAGCAGAAATAATGGGTGTGTCTGTAAAGTACTTTCATATCCTTGGATGAAAGGATCTAGAAACGTGTCCTGTGTTACTCTTAATGCTTCTTAATAAGAAATGGTTGTATGCTTGTGTACATAAAAGAACTGTGTAAATAAAGAAATAACGTTAGATGATTTTTGGCTGTCCCAGTAATGTTTTGGAAGCACATCTGAGCAAAGACTAAATATACCTTGACATCACCAGGTTTTGGTTCTGTTCCATCAGTTGCCACCCTACTTTTGAGCATGCTCTATATACATACTCCAGAGAGCGTGCTGACAAAACAGAGCTGAGCTCTGTATCCATGAAGATAATGATCACCAACCATTGTAAACACAGAACCTTTATTTATTTTTTTCACTTTATATGCTTTTGTCTCCAAGGCTCAGTGTTTGTTGATTAAGAAAGGGAGTTAGTAGAGACTGTGTAGTGTATAAAGGGTCCCACAGAATCGTTCACCAGGCAGCCAGGGGTAGAATCTTTGAAAGCGGAGACCCAGTGTCGGTCCTGCTCTGCCTCACAGGAGTGTGTGACCTTGATGAAGTTGCACGGCCTCCAAGCTTCAGTTTCCTTGTCTTTCAGCCAGGTCTAGTAATTCCTGCCTTGCAGAATTGTTGTGGAGACTGGATGAGAAAATGTTTGGGCTTCTTAGGAATACTCAGTAAATAGTAACTATGATTATTAAGGACTGGGGCACTAGCCTTTCTGGTATGTTGCTACTTAAGTAAAAATAGTAAAACACTCTGGATGGACTTTGCTCTTTAATTTCTACCTATGTTTTTGTGGTCCTCAGTGATTTTTCTTCATATTCATTATAACATAAACAAAATTGTTTATATAAATTTAAAGAGTGAAGGAAAAAAGTGGGGGTCAGGGGAGGTGGCGATGTAATGAGAAGTCTATCCAATGTTTGTCCCACAAGGAACAACAGGAGAGAGTATCGCTTCTTTTCATCCTCTGTTTTCTGGCTCCCCTCCCACCACCAGTCTTTTCTGGCCACTGCTCTGTACCCCACTCATACATTGCAGTCCCCCATGGAGATCCCTGCCATTTTTTCCCAGCCCCCCCCACACAGTCCTAGCTGTTTCCTACCTCTCCTTGAGGACAGCTATGGCTCTCATTGTTGTGCTGCAGTACTTGTTGTAGTTCCTGACAAGTTACACAAGTATTAATAACTAGAGGCCTGGTGCACAAAATTTGTGCAGTGGTGGTGGGGGGGGTCCCTCAATCCGGGACTGCTGGCTCCTAAATGGTGGCCGGTATGCCTGATTGCCCCTAACCATCTGCCTGCCTGCCTGATTGCCCCTAACTGCTCACCTGCTTGCCTGATCGCCCCTAACTGCTTGCCTAACCACTCGCGTGCCTGATCACCCCAACCACTTGCCTGCCTGCCTGATCGCCCCTAACCACTTGTCTGCCTGCCTGATCACCCCTAACTGCTCGCCTGCCTGCCTGATCGTCCTTAACCACTTGCCTGCCTGTCTGATCTCCTCTAACCGCCTCTGCCTGCCTGCCTGATCACCCCTAACCACTCTGCCTGCCTGCCTGATCGCCCCTAACCGCTCTGCCTGCCTGCCTGATAGCCCAGAACTGCTCACGTGCCTGCCTGATCACCCCTAACCGCCTCTGCCGCGGCCCCCACCGCCATGGCTTCATCCGGAATGACATCAGGAAGGTCATTCGGCTGTCTGGTCTAATTAGCATATTACGCTTTTATTATTATAGATAATTTCTAATATTTGTGGGCTCTATAGCACGTTTTAGTCTCCTTCCTTATCTGACAGATTGAAAAATCGAGGCACAGTGAACTAACCCCACTCACCAATTAAGCAGCAGAGCCAGGATTTTAATTTATTTTTTCGAGATTTCCAACTCCTGCACCTGCGCGCCTAACCTCTCCACCTGGGACTTGAACACACTGTTGACTGCGGTCCACAGTAGAACTGCTAAGTATCATTTTGTGTGTGTGCCACACACACACACATTTCCCAAAACAATATTACTCTGCGCTCTGCACTCTACCTTCTATTATATTCATTCTATGCTTGTTTATATAAAAGACTAAATGGTGATCATGAGGCACAAAATTGATTTCATGATCCATTGGTTTCACATGCAGTT